GAATGTTTGGTGCCAGATTCAAAGGGTCAGTCAGAAAGAAACCGTGACCAAGTCAAACTTCATGTTTGCAGACATTCAACAGAAAACTGTATAGAAACGGTCAGGCGGTTGGTGTTTCTATATACGTTCGAATAAGAATCATTCAGTGCTAAGAGAACTTGTTTTCACACGAAATTACAAGTATGCCTTGATAGTGAGAGCCAATAAGCTTGAAACTTGAGAGTAGGGTTTCCTGATAATTGACTTAAAAACACCTATCGCCAAACTGTTTTTCGATGTCCGACCAAAAGACTCTATCATTCAAAAGTTACAGGAGTCTCTGAAACTAGATAATGAAAAAAGCTTTCACTTTTTCAGATATCTTCAGTTGAACAATTGTGGATAAATGCCTATTTTGCTCCCTAGTAAAAATTTGTCCGTTAGATAGTATTGTTTCATAACAAAATACAGCCCAAGTTCAAATGATTAAAGCATAATTGTTCTTATGTCATACCATCGTTGATTGGACCGAATCGATCGGTCTCTTTTGGCTTATACGGGTGGCTATCGTTGGTCGGTGGTTCAGTGGATAACGCTCTCTCGTTTGAAGCGACCTCTCCCGAGTCCGAATCCCGGTGGGAACAACATCACTCACCGGGAAGCAGGTACATCCAGCTAACGAGTCCCAAATAGGATGAAATGCGCATCCTAGATTCCACTGCTAGCGACTATCCATCATTACAAGTTCAAATGATGTTATCATGAAAACAGAATGCACTCCTCTTGACCTTTCTTTTTGACTCAACAGTCAGGAGGAGATTAATGAACTAGGAGGCAGTCAAACCTTTTACGTGAAGGTTGATTATTCAGAGTGGCTTTCAAAACCTCAGTCGCTCAAGTGAAGTTCGAACTTCTTTGATTGTTGACCTCTTAAACTAGTGAAACACAGATGGAAAAAAACAGATTTCTGATAACCATTATCATCATCGTCAAGATCAAAAAAGAACTAGGTATTACTGCGCGCGACGCCACAAGTTACCACATATCAAGTAACAAGGCAATAAAATGGAAGATAAAGAAAGAAAGAAAAATCGGTCAAAGGAAGTAGAAGTAGGAAGTAGTAAAAGAGAAGAAGAAAGCATGAGGAGATAATGAGAACAAGTACAGCGGTTAAGGTGAGGATAATGTGTGTATAAATCAGCGACGCTGACATCAGTTCTCCTTCATATCACCTAAAGTCTCCAACTATTCGTTTCTCTTTGCTTGCGGACCCCAACCAGTTAGCTTGTGGCTCAAACCAACAGTCAAGTACCTCATGATTGATCCCATATTTTAGTCGAGCCACTCCCAACCCAGCCATCTCAGTCGTTGAAGGCTCACGAACGCATTAACTGTCTTACCTCTCCTGTCTAAAACTATACATCTGACTTCTGAGTTACTCACGTAGTGATGTAGTGGGCGTTGCTGATAAGAATGAATGTAAGTGCTCGTCGAGATAGTTTAGACAACTTCACTGGCAATACCAGCAGATCTTCCTCTATTCCAAGTTTCCTGCTCCGGAACTGCTGCTGCATCGACAGCTCCCTGTACGCTGCGTTGCCCAACTCCACTTCCAGTCGTTCAACCATTCTCTGCAAAGTCTCTTTCCCCTCTCCACGTTCCACACCGTCATACGCTGCTTTCGCTCTACCCCTCAGCAACGTGCCAAGTACCACCACCACCAACACCTTCGCTCCTGGATCCCGGACACCCACCAGTTCCGCAACCGACTCGAAGTCCCTGAGAAAAACCTTGGTGTCTCCATCCTCGAATTCTTCAGGCCACGGAATCTTCCTCACGTCCAAAAGCAGAGATACCAATTGAAGGAAACAAGAAGACAAGTACGAAGGAAGGGATGCTTGTTGTGAATCAGTGGGACAGTAGTCGCTAAATACGGTACAACTTGCACTAAAACCATCATTTACAAAGTGGGCTTCATTCCCTAATCTGCTTTTTTCTTGATTTGCTCTTCATACACCTGCATTGTGTCTTCCGTTTTTCTTGGCTGAATCGTAACCCATTGCTGGTAATTCCCTATGATTTCTGTCACCCTCTAAATATATACTACTTATATCCATTCTGATCAGCAACGCCCATAACAGTGACACCATGAAACATGCTATGAAGGCACCCGCGGTCAAACACCTGAAGCCTTCTCATGCCTTCTAACTAAAATGGCTATGTTTCACAGTCATACAGTAAAACAGAGTGAATTGCAGCCTAGTAGCACTCGATATCATGGAGGCGCCACATATGGCATAAGTTGGAAAAAGCCAACCGAGCCTTTTATATTTCAACCCATAATTACATCAACTATACAGAATACATTTGAAGTTCTTTGGATGGTTTACAAATTATTTTAGTAGACTGCACAATCTTGATCGATAAATCCGAATCATCATCACCTTAATATGAATCTGTGGTGTTATCAAGTCTTCACTTGTCAATTGTACTTTCGAATGCCTCTTTTCACATAAGTGACAAAGTAAAGAGGTACTTATAGTGGCACGTTACGAGAAGCATTTTTAACAAACTACAAACAAACATCACATCAACAGCTGCCACCTACGCTCACTCCATACTGACACTGAAGATCAGATGGATAGCCAGAAAGAACAAGCAACAAGGAACTCACTCTGGTCTGGCAACGAACCAACCAACAACCTATCGCCTAAAAAATATGCAGCAGAAGAAAAAGGAGATGGATTGGATTGGACATACACTGAGAAGACCATTTGGGGATATCACGCAACAGGCCAGACCGTCGAGTGGGATGCGAATGGGAAATGATGAGTCGCACGTCCGAGGGTGACATGGTGGAGATGGTGTGAGGAAGAAATGAAGGTTTATGGGCAGTGGTGAAGCCAGGTTGAAAGACTGGAGAGAAGAGAGTGAAATGGTGACAGAGATGTGCTACTGAAGCCCTATGTCCCACTAGGAACCCAAGGGACTGATAAAATATAGTAATATATATAGTGGTCTAACTAGTTTGCAGTTCAAATATCATACAGACTAACCAAACTACGTTAAATGCTTTACAGCTCAAAACTTGATGACTATAGGAGATAGGACAAGTAGAACCTATAAAATCAATTTGTAAAAACTGGCAACAGCAATACATTAGCCAACCTAGTCGTAGGATAGGTCCCAGAAATAGTGAACACTACCATTGAGCTATATAAATACACATAAAAACTAGCAACAAACTCGAAGGAGGTGGAAACCCTATACTAAGAAAAGTCATAAACAGAAAAATGATATTTGATGAAATAGATAAGAGTAAACACGAAGACAAACATAACTGACAAGATTTTGTCGAGAGAAATAACTTTTTGCAACTCAACAAAAACTCAGAATTCGGACAACGAACCAATAAAAAAATTTCAATAATAAACTTGAGTAGTTCGAATCCATTCAGGCTGATGCATAGCATTTCGCCAGCCGGTCAGATCAAAGTGATATAAATAGCAGATGGTCGCTTCCGTCGTTTGAAATCGAGCTCATTAGCGATATACCCGGACAAATTCAACATACAGAGGTGAATTGTTCACATCACTTGAATTTGTCTAACAAACTTAGATGGATCAGTATAACCTTAAGTAGGATGATCACTTTGCAAACGATTTACAAATTGTGCAGTCCATGTATACATTTCACAAAACCGTAAACGAGCAATATAGCCCTTCAGTGCTTAGATTCACTTAAATCTGGCTAGCGGAATCTATAGATCAGCCTCACTTCTTTCTAACTACTCAATTTGTTCATTAGTAGTACCTTTCGCCAGTTTATGATAGTTTTGAGTCGGAGATCGCATCTTGTGATCTTCACTGAGCGGTTTCCATTCAAGAAAGCACTTTTGACACTACAGTTTGAAAAGGAGGGGGTATTTGAAAAACTACTCAGCTGTGAGAAATGTCAATTTGGACTGTGAAGTTTGTAGATCATTTGCAAACTGATTACTTTATTTAAGTGTCAGTTATCCACACTAGTAAGGTTTATCTTCTCCAGTCTGCTCTGTAGTAAAAAAAAAATCAAAATTGAACACATGTTGCTTACAAACATTCTCCATAACATTATAAAATAAATCCCATTTAGTACTAGTGAATAGTTTTTGTAAACTTTCGTGCAGCTTAAAGCTAAGGTAAGTGATAATGAAGTTGTCTGAATTATTGATAAGATGTGTACACACTTGAATACAAAAGCTTGTTTCAAATGATAAGAAATGTATCAGTTTAAATGTCTACACTACACAAAGATACATATCGAAAAATAAAGCAAGAGAGTAGAATGATGTTAGAATGAACATAAAGTGTACCAGATGGGAGAGAATGAAAAAAGATTCGTTGAGAACCCCTTTAAGGCAAATCAGTAAGGGTTTCCAAACACTGATTTTTTTAACCCAATAAAACTTCAAACAGTCAGCCTACAACTTCCCACATAGATCACATCAACAAAATATGGAGTTGTATAAACTGACACTATCTCCTGTTTTGTTTACTTTTAGACCTTCTATAACCTGAGGAAAGTAGTGGCTAGGCATGCACAATACATGTCCCAACCACCTCAACCGATAAAAATCCGCAATGTTATCAATCGATTTGTCTTTTTTTACCTACTATTATATGCTCAACATCGACATTATGTGATACCACTAGTGATCAAACGCCTGTAGTCTCCTAATATCCTTCCACATTCAAAGACTGTCTCACAGATGCAGTATACGAAAAAGCAGGATGCTATGATCAAAGATAACAGAAAAGTTCATCTAGCGATCTATCCAATCCCACCTGCTGTTGGACAGTCTTAATCACGAACCAAGACCAAGCATTACAATGAGTGTGAATAATGAATAGGGAGAAACAATGACATGATAAACGCATAAAATTGGTTTCCATGCATAAATTTACCGCAAAGAATCCTTATAAACACATACACTGAAATGAAACTCACGTTGAATAAGTAGCATAGTACAAGTCACTTACCTATGAGCATTTCAAACATGATCACACCAAGTGACCACCAATCACAAGAATTTGTATAACCTTTGTGTTGAAATACTTCGGGTGCAATATAATCTGGTGTTCCAACAGTGGAATATGCCTTTTAAAACAAAAAACAAGAATGAGACAATTTTGACAAACTCTCAAGCATAAAAACAGATAGATCAAAGAGTAACGTCTGGGGATAGGTCTCTACCAGGGTACCTTAGTTCAATACTTGTAAATACTCATTGCTTGAATTCACAACTCAGTACTGAGTTCGATCGGTGGTGGGGCGAGGTCATGCGTATGCACTTTTGAGGGGTCCGAGAGAAGTGGGACGAAACGGCTGTCCAGTGCTCCCAGGTTTCCAATGTTCCTCCAACTCATGATGAATAGTAACTTGAAAAATCACTAAATCTCCACAAACTCCCATACTCAATCTAATTAGATTAGTTGAATGGATGAAATGTAACATGTAGAAAGTATGCATTACCTTCAATAGGTTAATAATGAAAGGAAATCATACATTTAGCATGGATACAATGAAGGAGGTGCGAAAAATGACTGAGGATTCATCTCAATACCCCACAAACGTTATAAAGGATAAAATAGTTGACTGCACAATAGAATATTAAGAGCGACTTTAAAGGCCACCCTAGCAACCGGTGAAACAACCAATCACGTTCCTACAATCTATGAAAAATTTTGTCTTCCCAGACAAAATACCGTAATCTGATTGGTTGTTTGCCAGTTGTTAGGGTGGCCTAGTATTAGACTACCAGTCGTTTGAAACTTCATAATTCCTTTTTGATAGAATGGCGGTGAAACCATGACCGGATAGTTTTATCACTGAAATGCAACATTCTACACATGCGCATAAATTGTTCTTTCATCTTTTTAAAACATGAATCTATCCGCGTTGTTATGAGTAATTAGGCTAGATAGGAAAATATAAAAAAAATATGAAATTCAGAACAGACGATGTTGGTAGAAAACTGCTGTTTTATGCGTACTCAGTAAGCATGAGAGCAACAACTAATCACGAGTATGCTTACAATGTTCATCTCTTGTTCTCATTCACTGACATCTTGATTAGGCCGTCTAAGCATTTAAGGCCTTGTACACTTTCTATATATTTCCTTAAATCCAATATTATGTGTATTGTATGGGCTAACAGGCTAAGTTTATCTTCTTTCTGAGTCAACTAGCTTGATTCTAATGCTAACAGAATCAATTCTAAACAGTAACTGTATGCAATAATAATAATAATTAGCAACAGCACTCGATATTTCCTTAAGCTCACTAATAATAGTGTAAGAAACAACAGTAGTGATGAAATATTGTATACTTTCCATTAAAATAATCATTTGCACAATGTGTTTCATTTTCTCTTCTTCTCCTATATCAATTTGCTCTTCATACGTCTACATTGTCTCTTGCTTTTCTCTGGGCAGAATATTTACCCATCGCTTCGAACTGTCTATGATTTCTGCCGACCTATCCAACATATACTACTTATCTCCACTTATATCAGTAGCATCCACTACAAAAGGACCAGATTGAAACTGAGATTAATACCAGTAACAACGATCATACCGTCAGATCACAGATATAACAACTACTTAAATTAGAGTATTTTATCTGTATTATTTAAGCAGTGACTATAATTTCATATCACTATCACTCGATGTAAACATTCAATTCGACATTCAAAATTTACAACAGAATGATAAATACTAGACATGTGAAAATACAATGCAGTAGAATGTTAAACGAAACCTTAACAAGATAAAGTCCTTTAATGCCTCCCTTATCAAAGTAACCTAATATTTCCCACTTGGTAGTGTTTCAATCTGATTATATCCTCTTCTCTAGTTACATGAAATCCATTCTTCTGATGCATTCATTTTGTTATTTTTCAACCTTTTTATATCTTTACTCGCTACTCAATAACAAGATTAGCTATGTAGGTACTCTTATTCGATGCAATAAAGTATGACCTCAAAACGAATTGATATGATTGGTTGAGACGAATACATCAACCACTTTTTTGCCTACTCTGTATCTATCTAAATGAAAATAATTAGATATGAATGGTAGGCGCCTTTATAAGATAGGGATCAGAAGTCCTGACTGCACAGTCAGTGTAAATACAGTAAAGCGATAGCGATGCAGCACAACATCACATGGTAGTCGGGCGAAACCTTAAGCGATTAAAGTGTAATAAAAATATACAAAAAGACTGATTGAGCGAAGAAATATATTCCTTTTCAATTAGGTCTTCATCTTGGGCTCTACACTAATATATACGTTTACAATTTAATCAAATTACCAATCATGTGGTGTTTCGGAAATAATGATGTAAATAATCAATAGAGTTACTAAAATAGGAAATATGAATATTGATAGAAACAAGAAGTGGAAGAGGTGTACAAAATAAACCTAGAAGTTACATCATGTTGACGGCCACGGTAATGAATCATAATGACTCTCTAAGATCTTATTCTACTGAAATGCTGAAAAATGTTACAGAGAGATTTCATGCTGTAGAAGAGCTTCCGGAAAATTTAAAGCAGGAATTTTTGAGTTATATGATGAATGTGGTCAATGCACGGAAAGAAAAGAAGCTCGTTAAGTTGATCAAAACTCTTGAAAACTGTACACCAGAGATGAGATTCCCGACCAATCCGGGTCAGCTTGTGCATAATTTTTCTAGTATCGATCTAGATGCTATACAATTAGAAGTTTTGTCATTTGGACCAAACTTTTGTGATAGTCGTAATAGAATTAGTAAGATGGAAACGGAAATACAGCTTGAGAACATGTATACGCAAACAGAAGGTTTGATACCATCATCTAGTGAAGATGTTGATAGACTTAAGATTACACTCGTTGACTCTTGCCTAAAGTACACGAGTAGTAGGAACAGCATGAAGAGTATATTAACGAAAAAACATAGAGAAGCCTTGGGAAAGCTTAAAACTAATGCAAATATCGTGATTGCTAAGCCAGATAAAAGGTCACGAATAGTTTTAATGGTAAAAAAGAGTACATAGACAAAATGAATTCTTTACTTAGTGATGAAAGTAAATTTCAGAAATTAGCCGCTTATAGTGATACAACAGAGAAAACCAAGAAACATCTAACTGAATCACTGAAAAGGATAAACTAAAAAGGTTTCATTTCAGAAAGCACCTTCGAAATGCTGAAACCTACTGGAACCGTTACACCTAGACTTTACGGCCTACCGAAACTGCATGAAAACGGTCTGCTTCTACGACCAGTTCTTCACATGACTAACTCTCCGTATCAAACAACAGCAAAATGGTTGGTACAACTTTTGAAGCCTCTCCACAAAAAAATTGTGAAGTACAGTCTCAAAGATACCTTTGAATTTGTCAGAAAGATTGAGAATCCGGAAGTAGATAATAAGTTAATGATTTCGTGTGATGTTTCATCTCTTTTTACTAACGTTCCTTTAATGGAGACAGTAGACTTTATTTGCAACGAACTCACGAAGCACGGCATGGAAATAGGTATTCCAGTCCCCACATTGAAAGAACTACTTCTGAGGTGTACGATGAATGCACAATTTCTTTTCAACAATGAACTCTACCGGCAATCTGATGGTGTTGCTATGGGGTCACCCCTTGGCCCACTCTTAGCAGATTTTTTCCTGGTAAAACTTGAGAATGGTCCACTGAACGATACTATAAGCCCTTTAGAGTTATATTGTCGTTACATGGATGATACCTTTATAGTTCTCAAAAGTGAGACTGATAAGAATGCTGTTCTGAATAAGTTCAATAGTGTTCACCCGGCAATCAACTTCACAATGGAAGAGGAGAAAAATGATAGTATCCCATTTCTTGATGTTCTGTTGGTAAGAAGGTCAGATGGAACCCTGAAACGAAGTGTTTATAGAAAGCCAACATCAACAGGTCAATATACGCACTTCTTTAGTGCTGTACCCCTCCAATACAAAAGGAACCTAGTGAAATGCTTAGCATACCGTGCATCAGCTATTTGCTCACAGGATGCTATAAAGGAAAAGTGCGCCAGCATCCGTGATCTGGTTAGTAGCAATGGCTACCCAGACAAGTTTGTAACTAAGCACATGAATATTACGAGGATTAAGAAAACAATGCCAACAGTTCCTAAGAAGCAAATCATCTTGAAGGTGCAATTTAAGAGTGATATTGCCAGTGAGATCATCACACAAAGCATAAAAAGAGTCTTGCATAAAGCATTCCCAGCTGCTAAATTATGTCTCACCTTCTACAACCGCCCAATTCTAGGTGCAACAAATAAAGACAAACTGCCCGGTTCTGCAACTTCCATGTGTATTTATCAATTCAACTGCTCCTGTGGAGCGAGTTACATTAGGCATACAATGAGGCAGTTCCATCATCGAACTTCTGAGCACCACCCATCATGGTTGAACAAGGGACAAATTAGAACTATAAAGAGCTACATACCTGCACACTTAGTTGACACAGGACATCAAGTGGTTACTGGAAAAGCCTTCAAAATTATCCATCAGATTCCAATTAATTTACCTCATGGATTACGCACTCGGTCACTTCACATAGCAGAGGCGATTGCAATCCACCTTTACAAACCTAGCCTTTGTATCCAAAAGAAGTTTGTTCGACCACTTTCATTACCGTGGCCGTCAACATGATGTAACTTCTAGGTTTATTTTGTACACCTCTTCCACTTCTTGTTTCTATCAATATTCATATTTCCTATTTTAGTAACTCTATTGATTATTTACATCATTATTTCCGAAACACCACATGATTGGTAATTTGATTAAATTGCAAACGTATATATTAGTGTAGAGCCCAAGATGAAGACCTAATTGAAAAGGAATATATTTCTTCGCTCAATCAGTCTATTTTCTAAATGTCTAAATGGGAATATTCAATGTAAATAAAAGTATGATCATAAATCGAGTCTCGTGGCTGAGTTGGTAGAGTACCGGGTGGGAAACCTGGAGGTTTCTGCTGCTAATCCCATAGTAGTGTAAGGATTTCATTTTACCTTTACAATCTTCACGGAGGATCTCTTCTTGTCATTGTGAATATTCAAGCTTTAGAAAGCATCAAAAAGTTA